GGCGGGGGGGGCGGCCCCTTCTTCGGGACGCAGAAGCGATCTGGCGACAGGTAAGTCGCCAGGATCGCTTCTGTTGTAAAGCCGACAGTCGGCTCTACAAGTTTAAACAGAGTCCCGGCGGCAAAAGTCACCGGGAGTCTGTTTAAAACAGCCCCGATGCAGGCGACGTACACTGTACGTCGTCAGTCACGAAGGGGTTAAATGTATTTTTAGGTAAGCATTTAAAAAGGAGAACTATGGGGTTAAGTATTTTCCCCATAGTTCTCCTTAGGTTAACGGGAGTACAACAAACTAGCGTCCTCCCGTCACCCTAGGCTCAGTATACTGCGAGCTGTAGCTCGCGGTATACTGAGACGCCGCAGCTAAAGCGAATCCCGACAATTGTGCTGGGATCCGCCCAGCTGCGTGACTGACAGCTGGCTCTGCCTATCTAGAGGCAGAGCCAGCTGTACCCGCCCCCTCCCCCGTCCGATCCACCAGTCAGCGCTGGCGGATCGGAGCGGGGAATCCAGCCCCTCCCCTGTCACGGCAGAGAGCCGTGAAAAGGATCGAGAGGTGAGCGAACGCCGGTATGTGTTCGCTCACCTCCCGATCTACTGAGCCGACCTGTGACAGTCTCATTGTCACAGGTCGGCTAGAACTATGAGGCGAGTGAAAAGCACTCACCTCATAGTTCTCCTTTAAGTACTTTAGTCCAAAAAAAAAGATTCTTCCCCAGCTATCATAGTGGGATTACTGGAACAAAACTGAATGTTGCTTTCCTGGGACCGGAAAAATTGGGGATATTTTCTACCTCAGGCTACATTCATACCTCTGGCATTTACACACATTTTATGTGCGCTTTATGCGAGTTATCATGGACTTTACAAAATATAGAAAGAGAACGTCTTACAGCAGTCTTTTCTTTCTTTCAAAGAGAGCAATGAGCCCAACAAATTGTCACATCCCCAAATAGGAGACTGAACCCTTGTGCCAACAAGGAGCATGCTGATAGAGGGAGAAAGTTAAGTGATAGAGAAATGAGCTCATCACTGTGCTGCTTTACTCTTCAGTCACAGGCTGGGGGAGGAACAAGACCTGTAAGTGTTACTTAATTTCAGAAGTTTCAAAGACAGGTGTTCAGCCATGCACAAATCTACAGTGCGTAATGGTAACAGGTTACAACGTGGGTCATAATGTGCATAACAATTGGCATGATGGTGTGAACTAGAGATGCACGGATACTGTTTTTTCGGTACCGAGAACCGATATTTTTTTTTCCAGTATTCGCCGATACCAAATACTGATACTGGAAGTCCCGTTAAGGAAGCCAGACGGCAAATGACCACTCACCCCCGCCTTCCCGATTAACAGGTAAGCCATTTCAAGGCTCCCTTATCACCAGGTGACGAGAAAGCATGGAGCTGGCTTTCTGGCCAATTAGCGTGTAATGACACGCGCCGTGTAATGATGCGTTGCCCGGCTTCCTGATTGGTTGCGAAGCTGGCCAAATCAGGAAGGTGACGAGGGAGCACGAAGCCAGCTTTCTGGCCAATTAGTGTGTAATGACACGCTGCCCGGCTTCCTGATTGGCCGAGAAGCCGGCTCCATGTTCCCTCTTCACAAGTGATAAGGGAGCATGGAGCCGGCTTCCCGGCCAATCAGGAAGCCGGGCAGCGTGTAATGACTTGCTGCCTGGTTTCCTGATACCGGAAGCTCAAGTATCGGGCTAGGCATCCGAGCATTTGGGCGAGTACTCACCCAAATACTGGGCATCGGCACCGATACTAGTATCGGTGCATCCCTAGTGTGAACATCGCTGCCTGCATTCTAAGCATCACCAATCCAACCTGTTTCTCTACTGTGATTATTTCTTCTGCGCCCCTGTAAAATTCTTGCATTGCTTGGTATAATGTGACTCCATGTATGGGAAGCACCCCATGTGACTCCATGTATGGGAAGCACCCCCATATGGAAGGAAGGGACCGTTCTTATGAGTGTCTGGCACAACACTGGACGAACCTCATTTCAGTCAGGATTTAGAGAAGTGTCACTGAATATTGACACCAACATTCTTTACAGCACAAAAAATGTCCAGTGCAGTATTAGTAACCAGTGAGACCGAACATACACTGGACCTTATACTGTTCTTGATGCCTATAGGAGATAGGTCAGATTCGTTCATACTGCACTAGAAAATAAAAGGAAGGAAGGAAGGATCAGACTGGTAGCTGTGATCAATGCAGATAGGATTTTCTTCACACACCTGTGCTGATGCCCACAATATTCAGGAGAAAGGCTGAGGTATGAGTCACCTCAAAAGTAAGGAAAATAATTCAACTGAATAGACTGGGAAAGTGACAAACACAAGGACAACAGACAATAAAGGAACACATGTGCATTTTCCACCACTGATATATGGCTTTACAGACAAAGACAAAAGAACAGATCTTACCAAGTCCATAAGCCTTTGCAAAAATCCACTGTAAATTCGCAGCAATTTTAGCCCTGAAGGAATCGTACATATCAAGCGGTACAACCTCCACTGTAGAGTCCACAAAGGAATCCATTTTTCTTCTGGTGCTTTCTTCAGAGGCAGAGACACCAATATCCACCATCTACAAAACAAAACAAGGAAGCCAATGAATTTGTATGCTCCAACATGAAGTTATTAGCTCACTGGATTTCTGACAGATCAACAGGTAATATTCTGTACTTGCAGCAATTTTAAGGGAAAAGATATTGGGAAATGTGAATGTGCCAACCATGGCTCCTCACATAGATAGTGAAGGAGTGAGCATAGCCGCCCTAGGACAGGATGTGTGTTATTTGTAGGATTACAGGTGAAAGGAAAAAAAATAGAGACCTTATTAAAGAAAACTAACTCAGCTATAACATCTAGGAAATGCAAAGCTGCAATGTATCATTTATTTGTTTTTGGGTTTAAATATACTAACTTCTAGAGTTGCAAACTTTTCATAATGTTGATTAGTCAAGGCTGCACAAATATGTGCTTATTACACTGACCTTACTCTCAGTACAAAGTACAAAGACTCTGGTCACCTCACTGCCTAGATTTCCTAGAGTCTAAACTAGAATATGGAACTTCACAGTAGCTGGAAGCTTTGTGGCAACATGTCTGATTGTGCACAGTGATGGCCAGATCTTACACATTCAGGTAGTCTGGACAGAATTTTTGGGGGGAACAAACACAAGCCAGATACAAACAGCAAAAACCTTAGAAAAAACTGTCTAATTGTATGCACATATATGACCACCTTAAGGTGCCCATACTCTGGTCGAATTTTGGCCGTTTTTTAAATGTACCGGACGAAATTCCCAGTGTGTGGGGCTGTCGGCTCCCTTTCAGTCGGCATTCCTCGATCAGCCGATCGAACGAGCTGATAAGTGATAAGTGATAAGTGTATGGCCAGCCTTAGTCACATTTGTTTTCTAAAAAGCTCTTCTGAAATGTTTGGATTGCAGGATGATGAACACTTACTGTTGCTTAGTCTTTAACCATCTATGCTGCCCCTTTATCATTGGCATTGACCAAGTTTGTTTCAAAAACTGCATTGTGTAGAGAATGAAAAAAAGTAGGTGCTAGGCCTGGTTACGATGGCCCCCGTGCAATAGATTTAAAGTGAATAAAAGTAGTAGTAGTAGTAGTAGTAGTAGTAGTAGTAGTAAAGGCAACACATAATGAACGCACCAAATGCTTCCAATACCTAAGCTGTTGCTCTCATATTAGTCATTCATAAAAATTGACTTTTCCTTCTGTTTAAATGCAATCACATAACTGATAACCTCCATCTCGGTCCCCTGTATAATGAGCAGTCGGCAGAGCTGTCTCTGTGGACTGATGTCACTATAAAACAGTGACATTGTCACGTCAGGCTCCTTTTCCCAAATTCATACCAGCGCACGTGCATTATAAACGTGGTCAAAGCTCAGAATATTTGAGCATGTGCAACAGACAAAAAGATCCGAGTGGCAGAGTTTGGAATTGAATAATGAAGCGCCGATAATCAGCCGAGTAGCAGTATCGGCCTAGCACAGGAAAACAATTTGCCTGGAGAGACAATTAAAAAAAAAAATAGTCATAACAGGTTTCGCCAAGACTACAAGATAATGATAAAAACTGTTCACATCTGTCACACTGATGTCTTCCTCATCTTATGTTGCCCTTGGTTCACTACCATATGACGATACTAATTGACCCATCTCTGTCTTGATCCTCTGCTAGATACGAATTGCTATCACTGCTTATGGAACTATTGAATGCATCTTAACATATTGCGACTAACCTTGAAGTCCTTACAGGACCCTAACTATACTTCTCTGCAAGTCAAGGTGGCACTGGCTTTATCATATGTGGACTTCTTTTATATATGTGTTTCTTGTTATATAAAACTGTTCAATAAACATTAAAAAAAAAGTCAGGTAGAGTAACTAACTGCAATTCTATCTTTCCAGGGTTGAATTTGGATACTTTAAGCATCTAACAGTAACACAAAGCTCAGAATAGCACAGCCAGAGCTGCTAGGCCTACACAACCATAAATTATCTTTTACAGTACTAAAAAGCAATCTGAACTGCACTGGTGATGAATTAACTCATTCATTAAACTGCACAAAAAAGGAAAATTAGAAAGCCGGAGATCAGCATGGAGTCTAAATCCTTTGTTACTGGGGTACCCGGTTCAGAGATCACATAAAACAAAAGAAGATGCAAAACACATGCCTGATGACTTCACATAAAAAGACTAGTAGATGCTTTCCAAAAATCTGCTCCCATTTTTAATACCCTAAAATTCTGATCTGTAAACCAGCCTATTGTAGCTAAAGGCTTCTAGTGTGAGGTAATGTGTGTGTTTTGGGAGCCAAGAACCGATTTTCCAGACATCAAAAAAATACAAAGGCAGCTGCTGACAGGGCCAAATCAGACAATCCCCAGCCGAGCACCGCGGCCTACAACTTGCACAGTGTATCCTCCTGCCTTCCATCCCTGCCGAGCCTACAGGCCCCACCTTAACGTGAAGTCTGATTCATCTTCGGCTTCCTGACAACACAACCCAGCTAAATCTTCCATCTTTATGCTTTCATTTTACGTTACAATTGTAGTTAGGACACACCTTATTTGAGATTTCTACACACTACATGCAAAGAATGCCACATAATCAACTGCTTAATAAAGATATTTCTTGGGGATCCCAACCTGTGTTTGTTCTATCGGGGGGGACTTACAATCAACCATAAACCAAAGTCTGTACAAGATAAAATACACAAACTTTCCATAGGTGAAAATACTAGGGTCTCTGTAAGCTCCCTGATGCCACAAAGAATCAGACTATATCAGTCTGAACAATAGAGCAATGTCACATGTTTCAATGTTTCCTAAACAATGCCTTCAGAAAGAAGTTCTACAATGGGATGGTGACTGGTGGAAGATGACCCCGTGTACTCCTACAGTACATTTTATTGTACAGTCCCCACAACAGAAGACGTAAGTGGAATTACCTGAACAATTACATATAACATGACTTAATAGTTTTATACATGACCAGCCTAACACACGCACACTGTACAAGTAAACACTACAGAATGTATGGCATACACCTGTGTATAAATGCTTTAACGTCTTTACCCCACTTCCTGCAAGAGTTCTATTTACATGTACACTCTCCCTGCTGATTAATTGACAGATGTCCCTGCCCTATACACACCCACCATTCATTCCATCTGGGATCCCATACGCCACTGACTACACTACCGTGTTTCCCCGAAAGTAAGACCTAGCACTATCTTCAGGGATTTCTGTAATATAAGACCTACCCCGAAAATAAGACCTAGTTCGGTGGTAGGTCTTATATTACAGAAATCCGCTAGGTCTTACTTTCGGGGTAGCTGCACATAAACTGTGTAAAAACCAGCCGCAGCTCCCGCCCACACGCCCGCAGCTCACGCACGCGAATTTTGGGGCTCACAAGATCTGGCAGTGCCTAGCATTCAAGTGCTTATCATAGTCTTCCACTACAGGTGACCAGTGGGCAATAATGCAGCAGCAGAAGAAGATGCTACAGGACAAATCATCCATACAACATCTATTTGTTGCAAAGAATAAGCATGCAGTTAAAATGAAAAGATATTTATTATTATATCCCATTATCAATATTATAATATCCTCCCTATCACATCCTTTTTAGTGTGCAGTACAAGTATAAACTGTTGTTGACTATGTATGATATTGCTGGACATGATAAACATCAGATGTCCTGTGACAGGTTTATTGTACCATATGATGAATCATTAGAGGATTATATATTTATGTGTATGGATACCTAAATGCCACATGCAATTAAGATGTCACCTAACTAGATAAAATGCACCAAGATTATGATGCTATACTAAGGGCCCATGAAGCCGAGTGGTGTGACCGCATGCACACTACATCTCAGGTATGCCACATTAATGTCAATAGTACTGTTCAAACTGTTTTAGCATGCTGACAAAATGCAAGATACCCTCAAAAGGACCTGTATGTAGTGAAGTATAGGATCCCTGTTAGAAGAATTAATAAATCCCCTCAATACTAATATTTAATCCACCATTACTACTACAAACCTGTCTATGGTGGTGCATGCACCCCTTAGAGATAATGTATTCCTCTAAATGATTACTTATATATAGCTCACACTGACAGCGACACCTTCAGCTATACCCTACAACTAGTATCATTACAAACCATTTTAAATAAACACACCTCTTTTCACAGGAGGGTACACATTAAAATATGACGACCAAACGAATACATGTTTACTAGGGACGCACCGATAGCGGCTTTTCGGTTTCGAGTACCGATATTTCTATTTCGGTACTCACCGATAACCAGTACTTCCGCTAGCATGGAGCCGGCTTCCCAGGCAATCAGGAAGTTGGGCGGTGAGGCAATACGGCTGCACGGCTTCCTGATTGGCCAGGAAGTCGGCTCCATGTTGTTTGGCTGGATCGATACTGATTGGCAGGGAAGCCAGCATGGAGACAGCTTCCCAGCCAATCAAGAAGCCGGGAGGTGGGTCATTACTTGTCACCCGGCTTCCTGATTGGCCGAGAAGCCAGCTCCATGTTGCATCGCAGCACTGCCGGTCAGAGGAAATCTACCTCTGACCGAAAGTTCCGGTATCGAGGGTAAGTATCAGAGCATTTGGGCGAGTACTTGCCCAAATACACTGTATCAGCACCGATACTAGTGTCGGTACCGATGCAACCCTAATCTCCTGGTTAAGAATTATTTTACCACTTATGCAGAACATATCTGTCCACATTGGTGATTGTCAGAAGGATAATAGGCTCATTAAAAGGACATAATCGCAGAACTGACTAAATTATTGTAAGACACGAATGTCCAGATAGGTGTGTGTAACCCACATATAGAGAACACCCCTCAATAAGTATAACAATATCCCAAAAATTGGAATCATCACCCTACATTACTAATAATACTGTATTTATTGAAAGAGACCTTATAATAGACACCTATTTACAGTGATGTGCATATAGCCTAAATAATAATGCCACCAAATCAGAGCTTTAGTATACTAGAATCAATAGCCAC